TTCGCTTCCGCTCTTCCTGCGTCTTCGCGATCTCCGGGTCCAGCGACGCCATGATTCTCACTCCTAAAACCCTAGACACACAGAAAGAGAGGGGTTAGGGTTAGGGTTAGGATTAGGGCAAATTACATTCTCTGGCGCCTCTGCAACTAAGCAAATTAGATGCTGAAGCACATAATGATAAAAATAAAAAGTAGAAAACCTCTCTGGTTGGGGTTCTTGATCGATTTCGATTCACAAAATGGATATGAAATGAGGGAGAAAAAAACCCTATTCAGGTTTGTGAAAGGATATTTTTGAGCCAGATTCAGATATAAGTCATGACATAAGATGCGAATAGTGGAACCGACATATGCGTATTGGGTCACTTGGCCCAATTTCCTTCCATCAACCTGGACTTTATTAAAGCCCAATCCATATCGCACATTGGTCACTCATTAGTCACGTCACGAACTCACGGCCCAGCATCTACTCTTAACGTTACAATAGGCCACGACACGAGTATGTGCTATATGATGCATATTACTGAACCACCTTCTGAAGGTATTGACTAGGAATTTGCTTGAATCAGTTGAATGTTAGATAAATTCTCAACTTTACCATAATTATCCTAATGGAAAATTATAAGTTGAAGGAAAATCAGTATTTCAGTTTTAATCATGTTTTGCATCTTGGTGATATATATACATTTTTCTCCTATCATTACCTTTTTCTTTTTTCTTTTTCTTTCTTTCTTTATATAAAATGAAGTACTGGTTTCATTCATTGCATACATTCTTAATATAGAGTTTATTGCATGTTAAATTATTAACATAACTATTTTTTTTTAACTCATTGATAGTACTTTTTTTTAATTTGAATTAATAAAGTATTCTTACGAGATAAATACATAATATGATCCCTAAAGATGTTATTTGTATTGTTTTTATGGGAAACAGTTTATATAAATATTAATTGGTATTCTAACAAATTCACATCTTTGAAAGGTAATTTTCAAGAATTAAAATAACAAATAATATTTTCGATGGATCAAATTATATTTTTATTAATTCTGTACCTAACATTTTTCTAAAGTTAAATTTTTACCTAAAACTTATATAAACCTTTGTTTGATTTGATATATTTTAATCTGTTTCCATCATCTACAAATTTTATCTTATAAATTATAAACAAATATCGAAGTGGTATCAATTAATCACATTGGCAGATGAAATTAAATAAGCAAATTTGACCAGAAGAATTTGAAAATAAGTTTTAACAAACCTTTGAATTTGTTTGTTAGTTAATATGAACGAAAGATATGATGAAAGTGTACGTATATGACAATCACTATTCAACTGGATTGACTTTGTCATCCATGCTAATCACCAACCGTTCCAATAGTCCAAGGTAATGCAAGCTACGTTTGACTGTTAGATTACCAGATCCTTTTGTGCTGCAGGTACACTCACAAGTCAATGATCCATTCTAATCAGTAGGACTAGTAGAAATACCAAAAGAAAAAAAATAAAATTGACACTCGTTAACAATTGATGACTGTACCAAAATAAAATGAACAATGATGGAATTCATCATACATAACTACCAAATCGCCCCTTTATTACAGTTTACAGTGCTATTTCATCTTTTCCTTTCTGATTGTTTTTTCTCCATATATGCCATATATTTCTGACCGGCAGGTTTGGTCATGCAATGCACCCAACTATATATGTTCACGTTACAAAGATGGTGGTGGATCAAACATCAGTGCCAAAGAGTGAGGAAAATGGGTTGCCAACTGAAAACTAAGTTGGTTTTTCTCTTCCTTGTATGGGGATCATGTGCATTTCTATGTTATGGTCTTCCAAGTGAGTACTCCATATTAGCCCTTGACCTTGACAAGTTTCCTTCGGAGGAAGGGGTGGTTGAGCTATTCCAACGATGGAAGGAGGAGCACCGAAAGTTCTACACACACCCCGAAGAAGCAAAGTTAAGGTTGGAGAATTTCAAGAGGAACTTGAAATACATTGTAGAGAAGAATGCAAAGCGAAGTTCTCCCTACGGCCACAGTCTCGGATTGAACAGGTTTGCTGACATGACCAATCAAGAGTTCAAGAATAAGTTTATTTCAAAGGTCAAGAAGCCATTTAGCCAAAGGAATAATGGCTTGTCTGTAAAGGGTCACTCCTGCGAAGATGCACCTTACTCTTTGGATTGGAGGAAGAAGGGTGTTGTGACTGGTGTGAAGGATCAAGGCGACTGTGGTAAGCTTCTTTAGTATACACATATAGATTCGAAAAGATTGATGGTTTATTTTATATTGTTCTGCATGTTATGGTTGTGACTAATGTAGGATAACTCCTTGCATATCAAAACTCATAACTCTAACTTCCTTTTTTTTTCTTTTAGTTTTCAACTTCAGTTTGCATATTGTAAGAGTGTTTGGTTGAAATTTTAGGTAGTTGTTGGTCTTTTTCTTCTACTGGAGCCATGGAGGGAATAAATGCAATAGTCACAGGGGACCTTATAAGCCTTTCGGAACAGGAACTTGTGGACTGTGATAGTACTAATGATGGATGCGATGGAGGCTACATGGATTATGCTTTTGAATGGGTTATAAACAATGGTGGGATCGACACAGAGAGTGATTACCCATATACTGGTGTAGATGGTACATGCAATGTCACCAAGGTTTTCTTTCTTATTACCATGACATGCCTTTCGCTTCCTATGCTATTTGCTTGTGATTGTGGATCACATTGTATTTCTATATGTCTAATTTATTGAATTTTTTCTTAAACTAGGAGGAAAGGAAGGTTGTTAGCATTGATGGCTACTCCGATGTGGCGGAATCAGATAGTGCTTTGTTGTGTGCTACAGTGAAGCAACCCATTAGTGCCGGTATAGATGGCTCATCATTGGATTTTCAACTATACACTGGTGTAAGTGTTATTTCTTAGTATTATTAATATTTAACCATTCACTATTGGTTTATTGCTGAAGTAAAAACCAAAAATAGGAATTTTCTTTCTCAACCAAGTAATTTTCTCTTTTCTTGAACAGGGCATCTATGATGGAGATTGTTCAAGTAATCCAGATGATATTGATCATGCAATTTTAATTGTGGGTTATGGCTCAGAGGGTGATGAAGATTATTGGATAGTAAAGAATTCCTGGGGAACCTCATGGGGAATGGAAGGGTACATTTATATCAGAAGGAATACTAATTTAAAATATGGTGTGTGCGCAATCAATTACATGGCCTCCTATCCTACCAAAGAGTCCACTGCACCATCCCCAACTAGTCCTCCTTCACCACCATCACCACCAGCAACACCGCCGCCGCCGTCGCTGCCACCACCTCCACCTCCACCTCCTTCTCCTCCACCAAGTGAATGTGGAGACTTCTCATATTGTCCAGCTTATGAGACATGTTGTTGCCTTTATGAGTTCTTTGATTTCTGCCTCGTTTATGGTTGCTGTGAATATGAGAATGCTGTGTGTTGCACTGGGACTGAGTACTGTTGTCCAAGTGATTACCCCATTTGTGATATTGAAGATGGACTTTGTCTTCAGGTAAGAGATTGGTTACAAGCTAAAAAGTATTTCTGAGAAATTTTTTACTGAAAAAAAAAAACTTTATTTTTATTAAAAAAAAAAAAAAAGTTCTTTTAAACATGTATGATGTATCACACTCATGTCATTATATTCTAACTTCTTCCAATATTCTGAATGCACTCAAGATTAATGTTCTGAACTTAATTGCAAATTTGTGTTATGTAGAACCCTGGAGATTTAATGGGGGTGGCTGCAAAGAGGAGAAAGATGGGAAGGCACAAGTTACCGTGGACAAAATTTGATCAAACAAAAAAGGCATACAACCATCACCTTCAAATGAGGAGGAATGCTTTTGCTGCAGTGCTTTGAATATGCTTCTTTCGCCCTCAACTAGCAGCAATTTTCTGATGCTTGGATGTTCTCTATATTGTGTACCATGGGCATGGATTATATCTATCCGATATCATGATTTAATTTCTCCTGCTACTTTAACTTACTCGTAAGTTATACAAGAAGCATTCAGTGGCACCAAATATCATTTTAAATTGTGTGATAAACTTGTGTTTCAAGCATTTTGGCCTAAGTTGAATATGATGAGTCAAGTCTAAACTTGACAACGAGAAAAATCTAATTACTTACGTGCATGTAAAATTATTAATTTTTATTAACATCGTCAAAACTGAGGAAAAAACTGTTTACAGAGAATTTTGTATTGCTTTTAGTTATGAGTATTTTTTGATGAAACCTTTATCATTTTTTATTTTTATAAAAGTTACGAAGAGAAGAAATTGAAGAGAGATTAACAAAGAGAAGCGATAAATAATAATAGAATATTAACATACAAAATTTATTGAAATTACTGGTGAAAGCATAGCTGAACTAGTATCTGATCTAGTTTTTATCCAGGGACTGTAGTTTTGTAGTGCTTGTTTCCTATTTCCCTTTAGGCTCCAGGGACTTTTCTCTCTCTCTCTTTATTTGGTCTCTAAAATATTTAGATATTTCCCTTTAGAACTTTTCTCTAAAATCAGATATTTGAAAGAAAAAAAAACTTGGCTGGGCTACTGTACTGGTCTCAAATCGCCGGGCTTAAAACTAACTGCAATGGGCTATTTCAGATTGGGCCCAAAACTCCAAATCTGAGTCCACCAATCTAGTTCAAGTTCTCCATTTCTTGATACGGAATTCCAGACACTGACTCTTGGCATAATTAGATGGGCCAAAATTAGATACAGTTTTTTAAGTACTTTTTTTCAATAAAAGTTTACTTTAAGAGCAATATAAATTATCAAAGTGAAATATCTAATTTTGATTAAAGAACAATAAAAAATACTTAAGAAACTAGTTATGGTCATTTACTATGGCACTTCACTTAAAGAAAACCTATGACATACCCTCATTCTTGAATTTCCATTAAACAAATTAAAACTTCAATTTCTAACTTTCATTCAAGACGCAGCCTGATTAAGTGGAAAGTTCCAACTGCCAGGTCTATTTTTAGATTAGCATCAACTTAAATTACTTATATTTATTATCCTTTGGGTCTTGGCCCCCTTTCTTTCATTAAAGCAACATTTATTTCCCTTCCCCGACAACTTTTACATTAATTATTCAAGACTTGTTTGCTTATTAAATGTTAATCACTTAGACAAAAAAATGGAATTCAGCAGGCAAATATTCCAATTTGATATGGTTAATTGTACCTAATCATAATCATAATGTCATGCTTCCACACTGTCTCAATAGCCTCTGAAAGCTCATTTCCCCCCTTTAAGTGCAATAATCCCGGTGCATTTTGTCGTTCTTTCGGATCTTTCCCGATTCTTTGGGTACATGAGTGTAACAGGTGCACAATATAAATTTAGCTTCGCTCTTTGCTTCCAAACCCATACACATGATAAATTTTTTTTTTGTTCTTGTGTACAAACCACTTTTCGATTCCTTTTGTAATTGAACAAGAGATATAGATCAGGTTTGTCTTAGCTCCTGAGAAACTAAAAAATAATGGTATGAAAAACTAAGATTCCAAATGTCAAATCAAACATGCTAATAACAAATAAGAGTTAACGGAGAATCCCACTCTTTTGTTGTTTGTTGAAAGTGTTTCATGTTGAATTTGTATTTGTTAATTGTTATTAAGGGTAAAAGATTCGCAGGGGATACGCCCAAGCTAATCAACACTCATTAAATTAACACTCCATATAATCAATATGGAGAAAAACTGGTACACTTCAACTTTTGACAAAAGAGCTAGATTTCCTAAATCTATGCTCAAATTTAAACAGCCCAATATCTAGATTTCGCTTATATATAATAATTTTCTTAAGATATTTTTATTTATGTGATGATGCTTCTCCGGAATATGATTTTACTTCTGCATGCCCCCGTTTTACTGTGTTGCCTTTATATATAGTTGCTGGGCAATGTAAGTTGAAACCAACAAGTTTTTATTAGCACCAAAAATTATGTTGGAGATTTGGACCACTCTGGTTGGCATTCTATGATTCGTGGGCTTTATTTTGATTTTTAAAGGATGCCATACGTGCTAAGGGCAGTAACTATGCCAACTCTTTCGGCTGCCCTTTTACACCTCACGTGGTGGTAGTTGGATTTTCAAGCCAACAAAAGAAATATGTAAATGTTTAGTATTTTCAGATAACATTGATTTGATATTTGAGGGAGCTATGAGCTTATTCCTTCTCATTGGATGCTATTCTTCATATAATTGCAAAATTAGTCTCAAATGACTAATTAGGCTACAGTTACGTACATAGTTAGGATACAAGTCTACAATCTTATTGTGGTTATATTTGGAGTGTGAATTAGACAGGGTTATTATATTTAAATTCCACAATCTTTGAAATGTTGTTTTGCATGTGTGGTGCACATGGATGATGTTGAGTATAATAATTTTGTTTGGGCTTTTCTCTTGTGATTCAACAGCAATGGTTTGGGTCAATAGTTTTCTTGTGTGCGTTGCTTTGATGAGAAAGAGGAAAGTGGTTGAATTAAAGAGCAAATAGGGGCGTGAAGCACGTATCAGAGTCAAGAATGGCAGACAACGAGCATCAAAGGACCCCATCTTCGTGGGACGTAGGACCCCTTTTTCTAATATCATTCATCTTCCCAAACCAATCTCTGTCCCGTGATCTAAGGGCTTGGATAAGTCTTTTTTTTTTTTTTTTTTTTTTTT